GCAGATGCCGCTCGAGAGGTGGCGCTCCCGCCTCTCTCGGCGCGGCGCACATTTTGTCGTTCGCCGAGGCCGTGGGGCCCCGCGCGGAGTGGGCGACTTGCCGTCCTCGCCCAGCCTTCGAGTAGGGGATCGGCTACAGAATTGATGCACGCCAGCACGGATCTGCTCGTCGAATCCATGGCGCATCCGCAGGATCTCCGCAGGCCTAAAAACATTCTGCGTATGCCTCGACGAGAAATCAACGTTGGGGAATCTCAATTCTGTCATCGATCCCCTACTCGAAGGCTGCGTGCACATTCCGCTTGGACATGGGGTTCCCGCGCGGGCGTGGCGCACTTCCTTTGCCGCACCGCAGGACAGCAGCAGCGGCAGCGGGGCGGCGCGAGAGCGGCCGAAATGCGATCCTCACCCAAACGCCGCGCAGCCTGCGCGTGGAAACGGCCGTGCTGTTTCGGCGCGGCTCGTGCTTGCTTTAGGTCGGGCATGTCCACCTACAGGCGGACCTTGGAGGAAACATAACACATAGCAACAACAGAACAACAGAACACAATTCCCTCAGCAGTGCTCAAAAGATAGTCCCCAGACCATTGCTTGACTGTTGATGAATATTCCTCCTGCAGGGGGACACGCCCAAGCTGATGCTTGGTCTTCGCCGCGCTCCTCAGAAGCTCGCCGCTCGCCCGCCCTTGCGCGACCCGCGCCGTTTTTTTGTTGTTGTTCACAGTCGCCGGGTCGTCACATGCCGCGATCGCGCGCGGGAGCCTCCCGCTCGCTGGGTGGGACTCTGCGGTCTGACCCAAAGCGCCGGGCTGGACCTCAACGTTGTGTGTTTCGTTTTGCTGTTCGGTTTGCTCAACCTGCTTTCCTGCACGCTCCTGCCAGCACGAAAAACAAGGCACGGCCGAGGTCCAGCAACACAGCCACAGCGTGTGGGCCCAGCCCTGCCGAAGAGGAAAGAGAAGCCGAGAGTGCCACAGTCGATTCGCATGTTCAGGGTCAGGTCGGGCAGGTCCCCCTACGGGGGGAGTTTGGACGAAAAACAAAGGAAACAAACAACAAATACCCCAACATGGTAAAAACAGTGAAGACATCGTCCCCAGAGTATTCTGCGCCTATTCTTGAACACTCCTCCTGTAGAGGAACACGCACGACTCAGTGGTAAGGGCCGGGAGGTGGCAAATGGCGGGAGCCGCTGCCTCGTCTGGCCGACCGAGCTCCTACCACGCTTCCCCCCTCCCTCACGAATTTCTCCGGTGCGCCGGAGGTCTGGGCACGCCGCAGGCGACACCGACGACGACGAGGCACGAGACCCTTCGGACACCCAGGAAATCCCTGGCCGCCCCCGGACTCCTCCGGATACCTCCGGGGACCGACCGAGACGACGAGAGGGACGAGAGGAAGGACGACGACGACGACGGCCCTCGAAAGCCATCGAACACCGTCGGAGCCCTCAAAACAACGACGAGACATGACCACGACAAGAGACGACGACGACGACGACGACGACGACGACGACGACGACGACGACGACGACGACGAGGTGAACGGGGAGGACGCGAAGGACGAGGACGACGGTCACGAGGACAACGACGGCGACGACGACCTCCAAAGGTCGCCTCCCAGACGGGAACGAGCAGCTGATGCCCTTGAGCACCTCGCGCGGCACGTCGTTCTTCTTCTTGCCCCGGATTGTGTAGTAAAGGTCACGGACCTCCACCTCGGCTGACGGCACAGACCTTTCCTTCCTCTTCGTTTACCGCTCCTCCTCCTCTCCCTCCTGCAACCGCCTCCTCCTTCTCCAAGCTTCCTCTCCCGCATATTTCCTCCGCCTCCCCCCTGCATCATCATCATTCTCCTTCTTCTCCTTCATGAACCCTCCTGCTCCTACTCTTGCTCCCCCCCCCCCTCCTCATCCCTGCGTCCTTCTACTGCACCTCCCCCAAGAATCATCATCCTCGTTTTCCCTCTCCCTCGTTCCTGCTTCTACTCCATCCTCCCGCCATCTCTTCCCCCCTCATGCGCCAAGCCACTATTACTTCGACATAACCCCTCTTCACCGACACCAGACGTTTCGATTGGACGGGCCATGCGTTTCGTCTGAGTTCCTTATCACTTACGATGTGAGACCATGAAATACGAACGGTTGGAAAGCGGTGTTCTGACAGATGGAGCTGGTTTTCAGGGCGTGGCTCTCGCAATAGCCCGCCGCGCACGTTCTCCTTTTGCACATTTCCAGCGCTTGCGCGGCCTGACTGGCGACCCTTGCTTGAGATCTTCTGTGATTGGCTACAGCACGAAATTGCTCCACGGGTCCACGGATTGAATGTGGCTCCTCTTCGAAACAGAGCTCTGACCCCCTAGCCTTTTTAAAGACACTACACTATTGCAGCTCTGATGGCTGCACAGATGGAGCGCAGATCTTGATTTGGCCGATTTCGGAAACCCTGAACCCTGAACTCCAAAACGTCATCTCTTCGAAGCGTTTTCTTTACACTTTCTCCGCCTTCCGCCAGCCTTCCGCCTGCTTCCGCCAGCGGGGGCGGCCTCGTTTTACTTCCGCCGACCATCCACCGACCTTCCGCCGCGGAAGAGATACTCCTTCTATCCTCGGAGGCAAGGCCCTTTTTCTGGTACGCTCCAGATGGAACGCAGATCTTGATGTGTTCACGACGGAGCTCTCGCCCGAACGGCAAGCCCATGGGGCGGCCGCTTTAGAAGGGAGGCACGCTTCCACAGTGGAAGACAGTCACGTACGGTTAGGTTCGCGCGGCGTCGGCGCGCGCCAAGGTTTGTCGCACCGCATCGATCGTCCAACCTTAAACCGATCAGGCCCAGTGGCGTCACCGTGTCCTCGGTGCTGCCGCGCCGCAGAATGAAACATGGAACGCCTTCGCCGGCGCTGCTGCCGCGCCAACGCCTCATGCAGCTACCGCTTGCATGCACGTTGACGCATCCTTTGTTGACTCTGGCCCCTCCTCCCTCCTCCTCCGCCAGCCTTCCACACCTGCTCTCCCCGCCCCCCCTCCAATCCTCCCCGCTCCTCCTCCTCCTCCTCCTCCTCCTCCTCCTCCTCCTCCTCCTCGTCCTCAACCTCCTCCTCCTCCTCCTCCTCTCCTCCCCCCTGCTCATTCTCATTCTACAAAGGCCTCCTCCCCTCCTCCTCCTCCTCCTCCTCCCCCCCTCTCCCCCCTCCCCCTCCCCCTCCCCCTCCCCCCCCCCCCTCCTCCTCCTCCTCCTCCTCCTCCTCCTCCTCCTCCTCCTCCTCCTCCTCCTCCTCCTCCTCAGCAATTATTACTCAATATGAAAATGCTCTCCCACTTCGTACTGTTTTTTTACACACAGGATTCCCGGGAAACGGGCGTTCGCCTGCGATTTTTCCAAAATGCTGCTCTCGCTGAGGCGCCAGCCTCATTTCTGCTCCCGAATCGTTCCGAATCGTGCTCCCGCTGCAGCGTGGGCCTCATATTCGGATCGGTGTTTGGCCTCCGTCGTTCAGGATGGCGTTCTCGCCCCAGCGCGGGCCTCTTTCTCGCGCGCCCATCCGCCCGCCACCACCGCGCCGCACCACCACCACCACCACCACCACCACCACCACCACCACAACCACCACCAGCACCAGCACCAACACCACCAGCACCACCAGCAGCACCACCACCACCACCACCACCACCACCACCACCACCACCACCACCACGACAACCACGAACACACGCACGCACGCACGCACGCGCACCACCACCCACTACGCACGCGCGCGCGGCGCCACAGGTCCGCTACGACACGCGTCCGCGGATAGAGAAAATCAGCGCCATGGTAAGGGATGGGAGGGAGGGGTAGGACGTCAGATATGACGCGAGCGCACCTAGCTTGTCCTCCTCCCCCTCCCTTTCCCCCTCCCCTCCCCCTCCCTCCCCTCCACCCTCCTCCCCTCCTCCTCTCCTCCTCCTCCTCCTCCTGCTTCTCCTCCTCCTCCTCCTCCTCTCCTCCTCCTCCTCCTCCTCTCCTACTACTTACCCCACCTCCTCCTCCTCCTCCTCCTCCTCGTCCTCCTGCTGCTCCTCCTCCTCCTCCTCCTCGTCCTCCCTGCTCATTCTCCTCCTACAAAGGCCTCCTCCCTCCTCCTCCACCTTTCCTCCCCCCTCCCCCCCACGGAGAAAATTCGGAATCACGATGTCGAACAGGTTAAAATCTGGATTCGAACCTTGTTGGAAGTGCACCTTCTGCATTTCACCATTGGGAAGTGTCTTTTATCCAGATGCCCCCCCCGATCCCCCCTCCCCTCCCTTCCCTTCTCTCGTGCCCCCCCCCCCATCCCCCTCTCTCGTGCCCCCCCTCCCCTCTCGTGCCCCCCCTCCCCCTCCCCATGTCTCGAGCCCCCCTCCCCCCCCCCCCCCTCTCTCGTGCCCCCCATCCCCTCTCTCATGCCCCCGCCCCCTTTCCCACCCTCCCCCTCTCTCATGCCCCCTGCGCCCCGCCTCGGCGGAGCGCGCGGCCTCGGCATCCCCGGCAAAGAGCGGGGAGGCGTCCCCCTGCGGCGAGGCCATAGCCGCGAGGGCCCCGTTCGCAGAGAGAGGGCCCCTGTAGGGGAACAACCAATGAGATACACCAGGTGCCCTTCCAAAAGAAACCTTCCACAAGAAACCCAACCCTGAAATCCCAGGACGTCCATCCATTTTTGGTGTGGGAACGTCACGCTTTCCATAGCAAACCAATCGAATCGCAAGAAACCCAGGGCACCCTGGAGGCAAGCTGGGTGTTTCTTGGCATGGGCCTCCACCGTACATACAAAATTCGGAGGTCCGGGCAGATTCCTCGGATCGGCGCTGGAGGGGACGCACATAGACACACTAACACTATATGTCCTCCTTGGAGGCGCGCGTCCGACCCGAACATATAGCAGATCCATCGTTTCCCAAGCGGTGTGGCCAGAAAGCGGCTGCCACGATGCATATACATAAGATTTCTCGATGCGCGCGTCACCCCTTGGGGGGGCGACGCACACATAGTATTAGTACGTTTGGGTGACGCCGACTGGTCCCCCCGCCCTGGTGCGCGGAGCGCGCCAGGGGCGGCGCCGGAGGCGCCGCCAGGGGGCTCAAGCGCCGATCCGAGGAATCTGCGCGAACCTCAAAATTGCTACCCATCGGTCGGAAGAAATAGGTAGAAATATGAAGTAGAAAGGCGTTGAAAGTAGATTGGGTTCCGTCCTCGCCCCAAGGAGGACGGAGAAGGTGAAGTCACTCGATCATAGAACTAGAAAGGCGCTTCAAGTATATTGGAATCTGGGAATCCAAGAATACCTGCTTTCAACAACCGATGGGCTTGCATGTGTCATTGGTTGTTCCTCGACCCTCGGCGGACCGGCGGCCAAGGCTCCTTGAGCAAGATGTCGCAAGAGGTGGGTTGACCGAAACTGCAGGGTGGGCCACAATTCCGTTCCAGGGGTCGCCCCGGTCCTCTCCCTCGGCCATCGATGGCCTCGCGGGTGATGGGCCTGTTCTCCACCACCACCAGCACAAGTGGGAGGGGGGAAGGGGGTGGAGGGCGAGGGGGAGGAGGAGGACGAAGCGGCGGAACCCCCTCCCCCTCCTACAGTCGGGGCGTTGACCTAAGGAACCCTAAATAAGGAACGAGGCCTCTTGTTCCCACAAGTTAAACTTCGACTTCCCATCGAAACCCTAAGCAAAACCAAAGGCGAACTGCAAAACAACTAAGGAACACCGAGCCCCTCCCCAACGAAAAGGGTTCCTTCCTCAGCGCCCCGACTGTACTCAGGGTGGTGGCAGTGGAAAGCAAGTCCACCAGCGGGAGCTCCGCGCGAGCCCGATGTTGCACGAGGGAGCGGGTCGGCCCTGCAGGGGGGGGGGGGGGGGGCAAGAAGGGCCCAGCAGCAAGCGCTGGCGGGTGGCAAGCCCCACATGGTCTGGCCATCGCTCGGACGTCCATTTCCTGTGTTTTTGTTCGGTTTCGTGCGTGGCTTTTTCGCCCAATGATCAAGGATGCTCCTCGATGGTCCTCGCCGACGGAAAAATGCACACGTCCGAGCGATGACAAGTGGTGCTCGTTTGAGGACCCACCGAGCCGTGCCCACAGAAACCCCGTCGTCAGCCATTCGCTGAGCGACTGGTCGGTTGATCTGTAACCTCATCTTCCAAGAGTTGGGCAGGGACCGACAATCGCGGCATTCCTATAGTCAGGCCACGAAATGTCCGTAGAACCCAAAGATGTTCTAACAACAAAAGCGATGTTCTTAGAACATGAGCCCAGTGCGTTACACCAGGACGGTCCCGGCCAGAAATGTTCTAAGAGCATCTCGTGGAATCCATCCGTGGATTTGGTAGGGCTGTAGGCAAGCCGGGACGCTGCGCCACTGCTTAAAAGAGGGGGGACCGAGCCTCGGCCGGGAGCCGTGCGGGCTCAGCTGGAGGGGGGCCCTCAGGGGAGGCCGCAGCCGAAGCATGCGACGACATCCGGGTCAGCAAGCTTCGCGCTCAGCGGGGGGCCCGGCGCGCGAGGCGCGGCAGCCTTCGCGCTCTCGCGCCCGCCGTCCTGGAGAAGGGCGCCCCGAGGGTTGACGCGTCCCTGGGGCTACGTTGCCCCCTATCGCACTTGAGGACCACACCCCAGAAATGACTTCGAGCACGCGGAGAAGTGTCGAGACAATGTCGAAACCATGTCGAAACAGTGTGTCCCAGGGCCCGACACCTGAAAACCCTCGAGTTTCGGTACTTTCTTGGTGCTCGATGTGTTGTTGTTTTTTTGGTTCTGGTGATCAGGGCTAAAGTAGGTTGGAACATCATAACCCTTGGGGGTGGCAGTGGACATGACCTCCACCGCGCGAGAAAAGCCCGCGCCTGGACCACCGTGCAGGGGCCGCTGGCGGCTCAGAACCGGCGCGGCGGGGACCCGGGGGGAAGAAAACGAGCCCCACACGTGGGGGCGGGGGCGGGGGGAGGGGGGGGGGATTGAGCGTTGGAGGGCGTGGGATCTCGAATTCAGAAGGGAGAACCACATAAACACAAACGTTTGGCGCCCCGCGCGGATTTCTTGGACCCGTGCCTGGGCCGAACCTGGCGCGCTCCGCGCGCCAGGGAAGAGGGTCCAGCGCGAATCCAAGAAATCCGCGCGGGGCGCCAAACGTTTGTGTTTGCGTGGTTTTTCTTCTTCTACTCAAAGGGCGCGGGGAGAGAGGTCGGGAAGCAATCGGGAACCGAACTCAGAACACCGACGCTCTTTCTGGCCCCGCACTGAAGCTTGCACAGGAAAACGGATCCTGGTGTGTACGGGACCCTGGTGTATACATGTTTCGCTGCTCCCCTGGGGAACGGATAAAACCGTACACGAAATACCACCCCGACGTCGCCCCCGACCCTCAAAAAGTCATAGGATTGAAGAACAACCCGCCACTGGTAATGTACATGTTCCAGTGTCCAGAGCAAGCCGGACGGGGGCCGCATAGGTCGGCGGTAGACAAGCCCCCCTTTAATAAACCACCCTTTAGCGAAAACTGCCCAGGACCGACACCGACGGACCTGGACCCGCAAAAATGACGGCCGCGACGCCCTCTCGCGAACCGAACACGGCCAATTCGCTAATCGAAGCTTCAGGGTAGGATTGAGTCGGGCGTGTTACCCTAGAGGGGGATTTTCGACGAAAAATAGAAAATAGTCAAAAATACTCCAACATGGTCGAAAAATACTCAAAAAAATCCCCTGACTATTTTTTGTTTTATTTTTGAATCTTCCTCCTGTGGAGGGACGGGCCCGACTTAAGGGTAGGAGGTCTTTCAACCTCAGAATGTTGGGGGGGGTGCTCGCTCAACAGCGCGGGGTATAGAGGCAGACGACGAAGAGGAGGATCAGATCGGAGGTCGGCCTCTCGCGAAGAATCCAGCGTCGTCTCGGTGCCACCGCCAGTGCTAGGGGAACAAAAAGTGCCCCCCCCTAAAAAACAGAAACATTAAAAACGCCGAAGTCCAGCAAAACAGCGCTTAGGTCCAGCCCTGGGCCACGAGATTCAGGGAGGAAAGCGCATCATCCCACCTGGCTGCCCTGGTGGACACCTGGCCCCCCGTTCGCGGGCGTGAGCCTCGGAGTTCTTGCGGGCTGTGCGGACCTCCCCCCAGCTGGTTTCCGGCACGGAGGATGCGACAGAGAGCCGATGCCCCCCGGAAGGCGCGACTCCTCCCCTGGGGCCATGCTCCTCCTGCCGGAGATGCTTGTGGACCGTCCCAGGGTCCAGAAACGGCCTCTGGACGTCCAGGGCGGCCAACAACTCGGGACGGCTTCGTGAACAGCTTGCCTAGGTGGTTTCTGGGCTCGTGGCCTCTCTAGTCGCGGCCCGTGGTCTCTGCTCGTGGCCTCTCGTCCTGGCCCCTGGCTTCCAGCATCGCCGAGTGCAGCATCGTCCGAGCCTTGCGCTGGTGTGGCGTACTCTCTGGGCTGCGCGTGAACGTTTGTCTTTTCTGAGTGCTGGCCCGGCCGGCTTGCGTGTCGCTTAGTAGCTAATTAGGCTGGCCCGTGCCCCGGACCCCCTCTCACCGCCTGCCCTCTGCTGCGCGGCCGCGACCAAAAAGTGAACGTTTGTCTTATTCGGCGTCTCGACATTGGGCGGAACGGGGGAGGGAAAGGGGGGGGGCGTATGGCTCCGGACCTCTGCTTAACGCGACTGCTTGCAGCGGTGCGTCCAATGGTGGGGACTCCACCTGCTCGAGACAGGCGCCAACCACTGCGAAGGTCGACTCCATGGAGGGGGGGGAGGGGGAGGTGCGTGCGAGGGCCCGCGCCGATCTGCTAACCAATGAACTATCCCGGCAAAGCATCCTAACAGCGATGTGTAGGAGCAGATCTGGAAGCATTCCCCTTAAGATTCGGATGAGAATCCTGTTGTAGAATTCTGCTCTTCTCGTAGTTGTAGTCGCATTCGCGATGGCAGTCGCAGTGGCAACGGCAGTCGCAGTCACAGACTCAGCCTCAGCTTGCCTCAGCCTCAGCCTCAGCCTGCTTCAGCCTCAGCCTCAATCTGCTTCAGCCTCAACATCAGTCTGCCTTCAGCCTCGGCCTCAGCCTCAGCCTGCCTCAGCCTCACCCTGCATCAGCCTCAGCCTCAGCCTCAGCCTGCCTCAGCATCAGCCTGCCTCAGCCTCAGCCTCAGCCTGCCTCAGCCTCAGCCTCAGCCTGCTTCAGCCTCAGCCTCAGTCTGCCTTCAGCCTCGGCATCAGCCTCAGCCTGCCTCAGCCTCAGCCTGCCTCCGCCTCAGCCTCAGCTCAGCCTGCCTCAGCTCAGCATCAGCCTGCTCAGCCTCAGCCTCAGCCTCAGCCTGCCTCAGCTCAGCCTCAGCTGCTTCAGCCTCAGCTCGTCTTGCCTGCAGGCCTCAGCCTCAGCCTGCTTCAGCCTTAGCCTCAGCCTCAGCCTCAGCCTGCCTTCAGCATGCCTCAGGCCTCAGCAGCCTCAGCCTCAGCCTCAGCCTCAGCCTCAGCCTGCCTCAGCAGCCTCAGCCTCAGCCTCAGCCTCAGCCTCAGCCTCAGCCTCAGCCTCAGCCTCAG